GAAACAGTCATTCCACCTCATTTCACCAGAGAAACTGAGTACGTATGATCCCTGCTTTCAGCCTCATTTCTTCAACATTGAGATTTTTGTTTTCCCTTCCATAATCTACAGGGAAATAACAGTCTTAGTGGATAGTTACCCATTAATTTCTTTTTCTTCCATCAAGTAAAAACGTCTAGTGAGTAGTGCATTTTCGTCAGAAAAACTATGCATTGTTCTTTTGCTGAAACACAATACTAAAAATGGTACTAAAAATAATATTTTAAATAATGTTATTTAAAATCGTATAAAGACATCAGAGTCAAGTAGATTATGTTCAGGGGTAAAAAAATCTGTGTTGTGTAGGCCCAGTCCTATTTGTGTCACTTCAGCAAGAGTGTAATTCAAAATTCTGATATCCGGCTGCCTTGGAATGGTGCAATTTTTTTGTGGATTTTTGTTTTGTTAGTTTTTTTAAGTTCAGTTCCAGAGCATCATCAGTCAAATAAGCAGGAATAGTTAAGCTAAGGAATGCAGTCTTATCAACACAAGGTGCAAAAAAAGGTAGCACTGGAATGGCATAAGTAACTGCAAGTCTGGAAAAAAAAAATGGTTTTCTAAATTTTTAAAAAAGAAAAAAAGATAAAGATGAAAACCAAAGATGAAAGTGAAGGAAAAAAAAAAAGATAAATCACTGCTTGGGCTGTCTAATAGCTTTATTGTTAGAACATACAAAATCCATTGAACTCTCAGCAAGATATTGTAATTTGAATACACTGAGGTTGCTTATGCCTGGTTTTCCTCATTTGTGCTCAAATTCAATATGTCACTAAAAATCATATATCTTTCATTTAAAAATCTATAGCATTCATTTAGCTGTCAAGGGCTCCCTTCAAAACAATTGTTCTGAAGAACTTCAAAATTTGAAGAGCTTTATGACATTCAACTGCATTTATATGGAATTTTTTTAATGGGAGGTAAAATAATAAAAAATAACAAAGAGAAAAAATAAAGTATTAGTTTAAGATAAGCTTAGCTGAAATTTAATTTTTAGTTATGTTTTAGTGACTCAAAAGCATTCTTCCTTCTTTCTGTTGTGTAAGTATTTTTTTTCCTTCACCCTTTGCTTTGCTAAGGGCATTAACGAGGGCAACAACATTGCAGAAATTTCCTAGGAGCTGTACAATAAGTTAACAATAATATGCAGACCTTCTCAGGGCACAGTTGTCCATCCTGGAATGTTTTTCTCTTAGTTTGTGCTGAAGAAAGAAGATTGTGAAATGTTCCTTGTTTCCTTATCAAAATTGTAAGCAGGTGCTAGGTCGGGCTGTGGAGATCACTTTTGTTACCTTTCTGCATCTGCATGTTAAAGAAATCACTGCTTTGCCATGAAAGGTTTCCTTTGCTCAGCAGATCTGAAACCTTTGCCCTCTCTGCAGGAGAAAGGGGAAACTGACTATATAGGATCAGCCTGCATGTTCTGTTAAAGGGTTACAAAATGTGCTGTGTAGTCTAGACCTCTGAAAAGACAGAAATATGAAGTGGCTGGTTAGCTTTATTAGTGTCTGGTGCTTTGTCAAAACTCTTCACAGTTTACCTTTAAGGATGTGGCTTACTCTTTCTTGCTTCAGAAAATGAAATAATTTGTGAACAATCTCTTTGTCTGGACTGTTTGTTTGGGAAAATACCACCATTCTTTGTTATGCCGTTGCCTTAACGTATTGCTCAGGTGAACTTGGATCTCCATTCTTTGCATGTTCCTTCTAGGATAATGCAAGGAAAAAATCTTATCCATCTGCTATCAAATTTACATTAAGCAAATGAATTCAACATTACAGTCATGCAATCAAAAGTGCTGATTGAGTTTGCTTTTGAAAGAGGAAAAGGTTATTAAATATTTACAGAGAAATTAACTTTCATTTAGTTAGGGTGTGCACAGTGTGGGGCTGGGGAAAGCAAATAATAAATCATGACCTGAAGTCTCAATTTTTACTTAGTTCTTACCAGGTGCTTAGGTCAGTGTATGCCAGCCTGAAAACAAACAAAATAGTGTTACTACTGAAACAGAAGCAAATAAAATATAGAGGAAGCAGAAAGAAAATAATATCATAACAGTGATTTTAATGTCCTTTAGAAGGAAACATAAATTTTGGTGTTCAGATTAAGGTGAGGTACTGTGCAAGGTGAGATGAACTCCAAAGCTAGGAAGGGAAAAAAATACTAAAATGTATGTTACATAATTATATATTTCCAAATGATCATGCAATTTCCATTATTTTAACTTAATTGCAGATACCTTATTAATGTGTTCAGTAAAAGTGACAATTTGGCAAGTGTACATCAGGGCTGTTGAAATAAAAAGAGGAAGATGTGTCTAGAAGCAGGCTGGTACAGATTTCTGCAGAATCCTGACCTCAGTTGTCAAACCAAGCTGTTTTGTTGATTTAAGCCATAGCTTAAAAGCTTGTATTTTCTTGAAAGCACCAGTGTATTGTCCAAAGTTATATTAGGGTGTGGTATATGCTTTTCTGAGTCATCAGCCCAGTTATTTCAGAGAAGAACTCAGTAGTTTATCCTTATCTATAGATAAAATATCTGTGGTGTTTTATCATATCCTCCAAGATTTTATGTATATTTTTTATTTAATCATTTGATCACTGTGAATCTTTTCATTTATATAAGCCTATACCTCTTTCCTTGAATGACCACGTAGATTTGCTTATTCACAGTTCTTCTGCTTCTCTTCTGTTCTCCACAAGATTCTGACAATTTTTGCTAACACTAAGCAGGCTTTACTTTTTATATATCTAGACATAACTTGTGGGGCTTTTTCTCCATTCTTCTTGTGAAAGGACCCCCTTTTGTCTTTTAAAAATCCTTTTGAAAAGTTTTAAACCTGTGAATTATTTGTATAAACTTTTTTTGCTGCTGTTTCTTTGTAGTTTTATCTCTTGCACGTGTCTTTCTTAGTTTATTTCAAAATGCTTATGCTGTTTTTTTGTCTCACCTTTAATGTGTCACTGTCACTGTACCTTTGCTACCACCATTTATTTGAATTAAGCTTCTGATTGTCAATGGGAAAGCTTTGGTGAAATTGTATTGCTTGTGACCAAATCTGGATAGTGTGCTGTTACGATTTTAATTTAATTATGGTTATAAATAATAGTTTTAAATAGTTTATGTGTTTAAGGCTAAATTAAGAAGCAGTTTGTAAAGTTTTTCTTTCGGTTGTACATATGCTTCCTAATAACATATAACTATCCTATATTCCTTTTTCTCATAGAATATATTCCCGAGAAACCTGCTGTTACCTGTTCCCTTGATATTGTTTGTGTTTGTTCCCCAAGACCCTTGTTTCTCTGACCTCATTCCTTCTTTTCCTTAAATTTCTGGTTCTGATGGTTTTTATTCAAATTATATTCCGTCCTGATAATCTTAGCTGCTGCTTCTATAGGAAAACATGTAATTTGCATTATTTCTGATTAAAAAATTGTGTCTTCTGTTAGCTGGTTCCACCTCCATTTCTGGAAGCTGTCCTCATCATGTTCCAAAGACTGTGGAACTGTTTGAATCCTGCTGTCATTTTTCTCTAATAGCTGCCAGGTAGCTGGGCAGTCATTCTGCAGACATCTATAGGCTTCTCTGATTCTAAGGATTATAAGGAGAAAACAGTAACAGGAAAAAAAGTTTCAATACCTACACCTCTTACTGCTGCCTATTAATTAGGTAGTTAGCTTGTTGTATTAATAAGGTCTCTGGGTGAACACTTGTTGAGCCAGTAGCAGTCCCTGGTGACAATTAAGCTAAACTTGCTCTCTTTACCCCCTTCTACCATGTTTTGTGAGTCGTTAAGAGTTGAGTGTTTGTTTGTGCTATTATTTTTCTTTAGTCTCTGCTACAATTCTCTATAAATTTTTCTGCAATTTCTGTGCAATTCCATGTTTCGTGGTCAGGCTGATTTTTGGGAGGGTTACTTTCTTTTTATCTCAATATATAATCATAATTATTATTGTTATTGTTGACTTGCCCTGTGCCTGTTCAC